GAGAATAAACGTATATTCGTTCTCTTTTGTTTTGCATGTATTGTGCCATTAGCGAACCCTTAACCTCAAGCACAGGTGAGAGATTGTTTTTAAAGGGCACGCGAACATGTCAGGACATATTCGTTTTCATAAAATTAAAGTTTGATGAAAGCCGTATTTCTAGATGCGAGACGGCAGACAAGAAAGAGGATGAAAAAATGGAAGTGGATGAAGATAATAAGGATTCGACTGCGACAGCGAAGAAGGACGAAGACAAGTCGAAAACTGATGAAAAGGTTGATGAGAAAAAGAAAAAAGACCCGGCTAGAGTCGTGCGACAGCAGTTAAAAGTCATAAGGTGGCTGAAAATCAAACTTACATGCCTCTAAAAGATGTCACCAGGAGGCATAACTGCATTGTAGATACTACAACAAAAAAAAAGGGCAATAATCCTGCAAGTACTTGTTCGGTAACAATAACAAACGCAAGAACAACAGTAGTAAATTTGTTGTAATTGCCTTCCCTACAGCGTTTTGAGTGATATTGCTGCTCTTTATATTTTTGAGTTTATTATTTTTGGCGTTCCGTCGTTTTATCACTTTTTCCGTTAAAAAAATTTCTTTGATCACAACATTTTTAAGATAAATGTTATGCCACCACTTGTGATATAAGAATACATTAAGTTTGCGTGGACGAGCGTAATACGAAGAAGGATTTGAGATTGAGGCCGAAAGTGATTCTGGACCGATCTAAGTTAGTCCGCCCGTCACGCGTTTGGACCATGGACGAGCGCTAGCGTTCGGATCGGATACTTTTTGAACCGCTTCCCATGTAATGCCTTCTTTCCAAAAGTCGTGTTACGAATAATTGTAGGGTGATTTAGGGTGTTTAAGGTTTATGGTTTCTATTTTTGATTTCAACTATCGGCTCTAATTTAAAAAAATGGATATTAGATAATAAGCTTAGTAGTATTAATAAAGTAATGTATAGAATTGATATTCTGTTCTGAAACTGATTGTAGAATGTTCAAAGGGTTAATCGTTCCAAATGCAATACTTCTAGCCGAGGAAAAGTTGAGGCAGTCGCAGAGAATGTGCTTTATAGTAAGAGTTTGTCCACAACAGCAGATTGGGGGAGAAGACTTCTTCAGGATCCATTGCTGAGTTGCAATTTTATGACCAAGGCGAATTCTCGAGAATGTTTGGATCTTGGTTTTCTCAACATTTGTTGGATATAGAGGTGGAGTTAATTGAGGGTTAATGCAAGAGTAGTGTTGATGATGGTATTGTAAATTTCCTTCTGCAATTTTCTCTTTAACTTTTCTTCCAATGTATCTTTGAAGATCCAACTTTTCCATGACATCATCCATAATTAGAGGAGCAGAAGCAGCATACTTTGCTGCTCGATCAGCCCGCTCATTTCCCAGTAAACCGATGTGACTTGGTACCCATAACATTTTAATTTTTCCGTCGGGTGTAGTAATTATATTCCTTAATTTGTTGAAGGTGCTCCATCTCGAAGTCGAAGGATTCCGAATAGCTTGTAATACAGACAAACTGTCGGTTACAATGACGGTTTTGAGTTTGTTTTTATGGGCAAGGTTGGCAGCGTGAAGGATAGCTCTGGCTTCGGTTATGAACGTTGAAGTACTTTCGTGAAATATGTGGTTGAGAAGAACCCGTCCTGTAGCATCTACCACCGCACAAGCAGGAGGCAGACCAGGAGATTTTGAGCCGTCTGTGTACAAAAGATTCCAACCAGTATTGTCCAATACTTGGGTTTTCTCAGCTATTAGACTCCTGAAGACGTAATTTGGAGTATCTTCTTTCTTGTGCATAGACAGTGAGATGTCAAAAGAGCAGTCTTTCAAAATCCAGGGAGGTTTAACACCAAAAGAGCGGGAAATTTTCAAGGGAATGTTCAATTCCTTTGCGATGCACAAACAATGGTCAATTGCAGATGGTGACTTTGGAATTTTCTTCGCAATAATAATCTCTCTTACGTCATCACCGAGAATGGATTTGTTTGAATTAAGAAGCTAAGGGACTATTTTGGCTTTTAACTCATACAGTCTATTTTCTAAAGTTGGGAGACCAGTTTCAATTATAATATTATTTATGGGCATCGTCCGAAAAACATAGCACTTTGCTCTGAGGGCTTGGTGATAGACCGGTTTAAGGATGTTGATATTATATTTGCAGCTATTGCCATAAATTATCAAAGCATAGTCAATCTTGCTTAACACAAGCATTTTTGTAAGATAAGCAATAGTGTTAATATGCGCATGGCTTCTCCAAGCAACGTACTGTATGAAATTTACCCTTGTTAAAAGGGAGTTTTTTAACCGAAGACAGTGTGCTTTCCAACGATAATTGTTGGAAAACGTGAGCCCGAGAACATGGAGCGTCTGCACATTTAGTACTGGTAGGTCGTTAATATGCATCAGTAGGTTTCCTGCATCGCACATTTGTTTTCGACATATGTGCATTTTTTTTGATTTTTGTATAGAAATTTTAGCTCCTGACGAGTTTGCCCACCTGGAGATCTCACATGCAATAGATTCGAGGATGTTGATTGCTTTCGTGTTGTCTTTTTCTTTTGTAAAAATGTATACATCGTCCGCGTAGAGGCAATGTTCCACTCTTGGTACACGGCAAAGAATTTTGCTAATTTCATTGAAAGCGATCTGGAAAAGCGTGACAGAGAGACGAGATCCTTGCGGAATGCCATTCATTAGCGGAAAGGAATCAGAAAGATGATTGTTGATTCTAACTTTGAACCGCCGATGCGACATGAATGATTTGATGTAGTTGAAGAATTTGGGTCCAACATTCCATGATTTCAAGAGTCTTAAGATAACATGAAGACCAACTCTATCAAATGCTTTTTCGTAATCAATTGAGAGAATTGTTACGTGATTTCGTTCGGAAATTGCTTTGCTTGTGAAATAATCAATATGTAACAGAGCGTCGATGCACCCTCTACCCCGCTTGAAACTAACTTGTTGCTTTGTTATCAGGTTCTTGGACTCAAGAAACCAAGATAATCTAGATGCCATAATCTTCTCTAATACCTTAGAGAGGCAAGGTAAAAGAGAAATTGGGCGATAATCTGATGCGATGGAGATATTTTTTGACTTTGGAATTGGAACAACTGTTGCCAGTTTCCACATGTAGGGTATATGGCCAGTCATAAATACCGTATTATATAGGTCCAGCAATTTCTTTTTACTAGACTTAGACATAGCACTGATCATTTGGTATGAGATGCGGTCTAGACCAGGTGTCTTCCCCTTCAAATTGGAGAGACAACTTCCAAGTTCTGAGGTAGATACGCTATTTTCCAGGAGCATGGCACATCTTCCTCGGTCTTAAGACGTTCTTATACTAGTTCAAAGAAATAAATACTACTTTATATAACCCATCGTCTAACTCCTGTTGCTATATATTAATTTATATAATTTATATTTAAATATAAATTATTTATATAATACCTTTATTGGACATTTAAAATACTTTTTTAATATATATAATAATATATATATATATATATAAAAGAAAATGTTAATCTTTTTAATGGTTTTGATGGTTTCCTGATTGTTTCCGATTC